CATTTTTTTTTGTTTTTTGTCTTTGTTTAATTCCTACGTTACACTTTTACGGTCTTTCTCGTGATAAAAAACACAAAAAAGCAATAAAACATAAATAAAAACAAACAAAAACAATAGGTGGCCAGCTTAGGACCACTGTAGATTTTTACAAGTTTCAAATTATTACGCTAATAAAAAAAATTTATTAAAAAAATCAACAGAACCTCTTATTACAACATTAAATAAAGGAACTAGCGCACACACTTATTTAGAAATTTTTAATTATTTATCTCTTGTAGCTGCTCTCGAAAAAACAAGAAAAATCAAATTTTTTTGGTCAAAAACAATATTATTGTCCTCACAATGCGTAGAAGAATCTTAGATTATAATTAGGTCCATAAATTATATCATGGTTTATCAATATATCATACCACAAACTTCCCTGAAGATGATGTTCGACTAACTCCCGGACATCCCGGGTACCTTGGTGTTAGTCTAGAGCTGTGTTTACGCGGTGGCAACCAAACTTTCCTGCAGATGATGTTCGACTGACTCCCTGGCATCCCGGGTACCTTGGTGTTAATCTAGAGTTGTGATTTTGGAATGGGAAACAAACTTCCCTGAAGATGATGTTCGACTAACTCCCGGACATCCCGGGTACCTTGGTGTTAGTCTAGAGCTGTGTTTACGCGGTGGCAACCAAACTTTCCTGCAGATGATGTTCGACTGACTCCCTGGCATCCCGGGTACCTTGGTGTTAATCTAGAGTTGTGATTTTGGGATGAGAACCAAACTTCCCTGAAGATGATGTTCGACTAACTCCCGGACATCCCGGGTACCTTGGTGTTAGTCTAGAGCTGTGTTTACGCGGTGGCAACCAAACTTTCCTGCAGATGATGTTCGACTGACTCCCTGGCATCCCGGGTACCTTGGTGTTAATCTAGAGTTGTGATTTTGGAATGGGAACCAAACTTCCCTGAAGATGATGTTCGACTAACTCCCGGACATCCCGGGTACCTTGGTGTTAGTCTAGAGCTGTGTTTACGCGGTGGCAACCAAACTTTCCTGCAGATGATGTTCGACTGACTCCCTGGCATCCCGGGTACCTTGGTGTTAATCTAGAGTTGTGATTTTGGGATGAGAACCAAACTTCCCTGAAGATGATGTTCGACTAACTCCCGGACATCCCGGGTACCTTGGTGTTAGTCTAGAGCTGTGTTTACGCGGTGGCAACCAAACTTTCCTGCAGATGATGTTCGACTGACTCCCTGGCATCCCGGGTACCTTGGTGTTAATCTAGAGTTGTGATTTTGGAATGGGAACCAAACTTCCCTGAAGATGATGTTCGACTGACTCCCGGACATCCCGGGTACCTTGGTGTTAATCTAGAGCTGGGATTATGCAATGGCACCCTGGTGTTCTTTGGTGTTATTCTGGAAACTTAATTACTCGAGAGAAAACAGAATTCCCGAAAGATGATGTTGAACTGACTCCTAGACGTCCGGGTGTACCTTTTGACAACACGCAGGTCAGCAATTTTTATCTCCAGTGAGGCTCAATTTGTCAAATTTTAACAAATCGTTGACTTGGTTATGATTTAATGTTAAATTTCATGGATAGTCAAAAATAACACCAAAATAGATTATTTTAATCCTTTCTTTTGTTAATTTAATCCTAGAGGGATTAAACTGTTGCAGATTATTTTAATCCATTCTGGTGTTATTTTAATACCTCACGATTTACTGTGACCTAACAGAGAAAAATCCCCAAACGCCGGGGATTAAACGCACGACCCTAACATTCGCAAACCGATAACCTAACCACCTAACCACGCTCGCACGCTACGATGACTGGCATTGTACTTGAGGGCATTCTTCTTAGATTCAGTCATAATAACTACTCCGTTTAGTTGCAGTAACTAATTTTTTAAGCTCAAGGACTTAGTTGAAATGTAGCCAGCATATGATTTTAAATGACTCAACGATAGTGCAGTAGTTAAAAGTACTGTTGAAAATAGTTATTTTCAGAATTTCTGTAGTAAAATTATCCACTTTTTACTAGTTATAGAAAATTAAACTTACTATTTTCATATAGTAAAAATAACATAAAAATTGTTACTTTTATGACTTTTGTAGTTATAAAAATAAATGTTTCTTACCACCATAGAGATAAATGATTAAAAGCTAGTAAGAATTGGTTGTTTTAACTACATTAAACACAAAAATAACAAATTCCAGCGGTTGTTCTTACTCTTTGGAACAGTAAATTTTAATTTATTTTGCAAATAGCAAGAAATGGATTTTTCTACTGCAGAAATTCCGAAAATAACTATTTTTAACAGTACTTTTAACTACTGCACTATTGTTGAGTTATTCACAATCATAACGTGTAGTAGTAATTTTAACTACATAAAACCTACTATTCAATTTTAGTTCCACTAACTATGGAAGTTTAGTTAAAATGCTGCTGAATATGGTAGTTTTAACTATATTTTTTTAACTGCACATATGTGGATGTTTTTACCACTCACGTTTTTTCTCTGTAGAAAAAAATGATCTTTTAACTGCATAAATAGTAAAAATAACTATTTTCAACAATTGATTTTACTATATGAAAACAGTAAATTTCTTTCTTTCTCTGCAACTAGTAATAAATAGTTGTTTTAACTACATAAATCATAAAAGTAACAACTTTCAGAGGTTGTATTTACTATATAAAAACAGTAAGTCTCATTTTGCTTGCAACTAATACAAAATAGTTATTTTTGCTACCACAATAGTAAAATTAACTATTTTTAACAGTAGTTTTTACTACTACACTATAGTTGAGCCATTTACAAGCATCTGTTAGTTATTTCAACTACGTAAAGTAGTTATTTTAACTACATAAAACCAACTACTTCATTTTGGTTCCACTAACTGAGGAAGTGTAGTTAAAATGCTGCTGAATATGGTAGTTTTAACTACTTTTTTCTAACTACACAAATGTGGTTGTTTTTACCATTCGCATTTTTTTCTGTGTAATAAGGTATCAAAAATAATATTCTTTACTTTAGAGGTTTTTCCTTGCCCATATTATTTGCTAATTATTATATATGGTTATGAGCTAATAAAGAAAAGCTGTTTTTATGCACTGAATTAAACGTTTTTAATTAAATAAACAATTAAATACATTAATTAATATATTTATTTTTGATTATTTACTTCATTTGAATTCAAAGTTTTTGACATTTGAACCTCAAAAAATTGTTTTGTTTATTATTAACTACCAAAGAATAGAAATAATATACATTCAAGTCGAATACTTTTGTTTTGAGAAGAAAAGTTGAGAGGATAATAGAAGAGGATTTTTCCTCTAACTATGAGATTACTTTTTTAGGGTGCAAGAAGATTTTTTTAATCCATGGAGCAAAGCGACTGCAAAATGGAAAATACAATATAGTAGTGTAATGAAAGGCTGCCGGAAGTGCTATACAGGTAGTCGCCAGAAGAGGGCAGAAGCATGCAGCGAGTATATGAGTCGCATTACATTGTTATTGTATTTCCCATTTTGCAATCTACATGAATTAAAACAATCTTCTTGATTTAGGTAAGTTAGAAGAACGGTTCGTTGACGGATTTTGTAAAAAGAATTTCAATTTCACGTTATTTAAACCAGACAGTGACGTTTTTGTTGTTTTCATAAAATATATGATTTTTACATAATTTATTATACCTTTTCTGAATAACAATTATATTATAACAAAATAAATGGGTTAGGAAATTTTACATCTTCAACTATAATAGTTTATAACTATTATATTGTTCCTCAGGTCTGCTTAACCTCGACGATCGCAAGCCAAGGAGTCTCACCACCGTAATATACCATCGGTATTAAAATATTTTTAAATCAAAAGTATTTGTCGATTAGTCACGGTTTGAAATTAAAAATAGTTTGTAACTATTTATTTTTTAATAGAAAGTATCTTTTACATCTTATTTATTTCATAGTTTGTAGATTTATAAACAAGAGGCACAACATAACCTATTCGTTAACTCCTTATTTTTCTTGAAAAAGCTACTATATTTTTACTTAAAAATTGAATTAAATCTGTGTGTCGATATTTTTAATAGTTTAAAAAAGTAAAATATGTTGTATTCGACATAAAAATAATTATTTTCTTGACAGGTGCATATTAGATGTTAGTATATGAAACTTAAATTTTAACCACCTAAAAGGTTTACACGTCATTAAATAAAATTTTTGTACTGTAAATATAATTTTCTAATTGCATTCTTTTATATCAAATATAATTATAAAACATAATATAAAATGCAAAGAATGACATGTAAGTAAAAAATACATGCACGCGGCCATGTCAGATATATTTTTTCATACCAGTGTAGGAATCAAAAAATGATACCGCTTACCGCATCATTTCTAAAAATGATATGTTTACGTCGTCTATTAGTTATGCGTATCAAAACGTTTGAATCTAAAATGATCCCTTCAAATTTTCTGTGAACTTATTAATTCTAGAGCTTATTCACGCATCTTACAAAACTTCTTTGAAACATAACTTTCAATGTTTTGTTTTAAAACCTTTAAAATCCTGATATTCGTCTGGCTGCCAGTACTCGAAACATTTTTCATCATGAGAATTCTCATTTCTTTGCGCAGATCAGTTACTAAATCAGTCGGTTTGGTTTATTTGCAATGAAATACGTAGGCCAAAAAATTCAAGGGTAAAGGAACCTCGAAGGAAAGATAGAAAGAAAAATAAAATAAAATGAACAAGATAGAAGGAATGTGAAATGATTGGTGTTTCAGGGGATTGAGGAGTTATTAAAGAGAAGGAGAAAGTAGCTAAGCGAAGGGTGCGTGGGTTTCCTCGCAGGGGGTGCGTAGAACGAGGAGGGGACATTCGTAGGGGATAAGAGGACTTGGTGAAGGGTGGCATGATGGAAGAAGAGTGGAGTAGGGTAGAAAGGGGGAGAAAACTCGAGGGTGCGTATAGGCCTGGGGAATCAGTCGCGGACGAGCTACGTTGGGGGTTTTATCTATAGAACTCTTCTCTTTACGAAACCTCTCTCTCTCTATCTGGAATACTACGTTCTTTACCTCACGCGCAAAGAGAACAGATAAAAATAGAAAAAAAGTGGAAAAGAGAGGAAAACCTTTCCCGACGTAGTGAAAACGTAAAAGTTAAAAATTTTCAAACGTGCAATCAACAGTATTTATTTATTTTCTTACTGAATAAAAACAAAAACTTGAACATATAAGTGATCGTGACCGTAATCGAGAGTTAGATTTTATTGATCTAATTTTCGCGCGCGTGCCAAACTAGTTCAAGTATTTCTTTTTTATCGCGTGCAAGCGACAAATTTTGGGTGTTGTTTAAATTCGTTTAACCGTTCACCACGTTGTCACAAATGGTTCATATTGTGGAACTAGTTCCGTCGAGTCGGAACGACTTTCGAATGGTGAGTCCACTCATTGAAATCATCGTATTTACTTCTCTCCCTGTCTCTCTCTCTCTCTCTCTCCTAACATTTTCCATTAGTTTGAACAAATAAAGGTAAGATGCAAAAATGTACTAATGAAAGCTTTCTACTGCATACAAATGGCCATCAGATTATTCGAAATGTTTCACAAATCAAAACGAAAGGAAATGTACAGAGGGAGCAACCCTTGAAGTTCAATTTTTAGACAGAGACAGATATATAGAAATAATACTACAGAGAATCGAATTTCTTGCCCTATCTTACAATTTTCAATCCTCGAATACAAGGTTTCTGTGACCCAGATTCTGTCCCTTATTTGGATACCGAATGAATTTTTTTAAACTTGGAAATTTTTAATTAAAGAATTTCTAAGTATTGATGGCATTGAATTTCAAACTTATAGTAGTTTAAGGGGTGGTGAATATTATTATAAGCAAATGATGTTTTGATATTTCAATGAATTTTATTCCAACAAATAATTTTAATTTTTTGGTTATGTTAGATTCACTCACAATAAACGATTGGAATATTGTAATATTATAATTTTAAAAGTAAATAAAAATCCCCGATAACAAATTCTATAAAGATGCCAGCAATTCTTTTGTTATAAAATACATTTATAATTATTTGTAATTGTTTAAATGTTTTCTCCTTTGATTCTTGACAGAATATTATATTATTTAGATAATTATATTTAAAAATAGTTCAGTATATCCGAAGAAGACTTCGATTTGGAATTAATTATGTTTCATTTATATCCTAAATATTAGGTACTTGCAATAATTACAATAACATCTGTGTGTTCAGCAGAAGAGCAGAAGTGGTATATAATAGACATGGCTTCTCTATTAGTTTTTACATGCAACAATCCAGATACACGACTGGTGCTATTTCTTTTTCAGTCCTTCTTTGTTTTATAAACCTTTTGTAAATATGCAAATTAATTAAAACTTTCGAACCTAAAAAAATTTTAATTTTTTAAGATAGAAAAACAATTTTAATTTTTTTGAAATAGAAATTATTATAAATTTTCCGTAGAATAATCGATCAATTTAGAGAAAATTATAGGGTAATGTCACCTTGAGTGGACCGCCTGAGCTTTTTTTCTAAAAAATTCTTTATGACAGCAAATTAATCAGAGGTTTCTATTCCAAGCTTTAGTTTAAATCCCTAGATAAGTGTTTATATCATAATAGCTTTGATTTTTTTTATTTGGAAAAAACAATTGACTTTAAAAAAATAGCTCATTTTTAAGGAATGAAAAAAGTGTAACCTTGAGTGGACCACTCTTAAAAAATTGTAAAAGTTATTCTAAATTCTTTAATGTATTTAATATTTCTGATATATTAAAACAAAATTTATGCTTATGCAGCTTCAGACCATGTTTGTGTCGCAATGTTTACAAGTGAAACCATTTTCAATAATTTTGGCACATATCACATCAAAATCACAAAAAAATTAATAAAGAACATAAAACAGTTTCAAACCAATTTATTGTCAATTTATTTCCATAAAAATGTTAAACTGACATTAAAAATATAAAAAACAGGCAGTCCACTCATGGTTATAAACTGTGGTCCATTCATCGTGACATGCAACTTTTTATGGCAGACACCAAAATTTTTTTTGAGTCATAATTATCACCTTATTAAACTAAGACAATTAATTTCAATGTCCAAAGTAGTAGGAAAAAAATAAGTTACCTTTTAAAACTTAAATTTTACACTACTTTTACACTTCCGAATCACTTTACTCATTGTAAGAGCGACTTCTTTTTTGGTTTGTGTTCTTAAAAATGCGTTACATGAAACGATAACGTATATGATTATCGCAGAACATAAATTCTTACGGCTTCTAGGTGCGGTGCTGCTGTTCGTTTTATTTATTTCACGTTTCCGCTGTCAGATAACTTAAAAACTCAGGTGGTCCACTCAAAGTGGCGGTCCACTCAATGTGACATTACCCTATCAATATTTAAATTCAAACTACATATGTTTATTTCTAGTACTGCTCATATTTGAAATTATTTAACAGTATAAAAAAAAAATACTATAAAAAAAATACTTTAAAATCAATTATAATTTATAATACTGGAAACCAATGTTTTGAAAGTGTATATAATATAAATAATTAAGTAAAGTACTTATATTTTTGTGATGCAACAATTTTGGCCAATGCTCTAGTTTTGGTAATTTTTATAAAACTTTCATTTAATTATTTACTACAATTAATATTTCTCATTATAATAATATATTATAGTACTACAGGATTTAAAGTATTTCCTTAAGTAAAATACTTAATTAAATTTAAATATAAATAATTACAATAAATATTAACTACTGGCCAAATCTGGCGTTAAAGTTGCCAAAACTGGTGCTTCTACCCTACTAACTTATATTTTTATTAATATACTTATATTTTTATTTATACCTAAGAACCAACTAAACTTTTTATTTGGTTCAAATAAAATCATACAAATTAAAATAACATAGACAATAATTTGTTATTGTTTAAAAAAGTTGACAGTTTTTTTGACAGCTGTCAACTGTAAAAATTCAAATTTTTCTAGTTAAATTGACAGCTGTCAACTGTCAAATTGTCAATTTAACATCATATTTGTAATCAGCGGCCTCGACAACCCTTACATACATGTATCGCTTAATTATTTTTATTGTTGCTATTTGGAAAACTTAGATTATTTTTTCTATGTTTAGGAATTTTGTTATTAATATAAAGAATATTGACATTTTCTTATTGCCTAAGTTATTAGAATTGAGAAAAAGAAAACACTTGTATACAAATTTATTTTTAAATATTTTTATTACATTATTACTGTATGTTTAGTTCAAACTAAAGTCCTAACCATTCTCGTCTGTAGTAATTAGTAATGTAATTTTTTTCTAACTTTTAAGCAATATTATAGATAACATAGGGTGAAGGAACCATTTGTCGAGGAAATAGTGAGGTTCTACATTTACACATTTTTTAATCACAAACAAGACCTTCCATGTAAAATTAAAAATATGATTTAAGTAAAAGGAGTATCGAAGATTCTATACTTGATATAATTACATTAAAGAAAATTCATTATTTATTAAATAATTAATATAAAAGAAATTGTTTGTAAAATACCATTTGTCGAGGCTCGGATACCAATTTCTCGATTTGTCGATCCATTTGTCGTTTTTATTTTGTATCATGTAAACGTAACCCCATCTTAGTTTGTTTACAATTATTAATATCAATATTTTATTATTTTGATTATTATTTACGTTTCAATTAAAATTTTACATTGAAAATTATTAAAAAAATTTAATTTAAAGAACTTTCTTACGTTACTGGTTGATGTTTACATTGACCTAACCAAAGAGATATTTATATTAACCTTCAAAAACAATAGAAAATATTTTTGCGTAACTTTTTAACTGACAATCGAAAACTGGTGTCATATAAGAAAATGTGTAAAACCCATTTCTCGAGACAACAACTGTACAATTGGAGATCAATCAAAATTGATTACCAGTTACCGAGTATTAATTTTATTTAACATAATATATACATATATAAAATAATTATCAAGAGTTTCATGATCTTTGTTTTTTTCTGTAGTTGATGGTATTGCTGAATTTTTTTGTAATATTAGAAAATATGCTACTTTTAGAAGTGAAAGATCACTAATCATATTACAAATGAAAATAGCAAATGATGCCATTCTTCTGATTTCGTGAGTAATACACATAAAATTATTTTTTTTAGAAAAATGCTTTAAAATTACAACCAAAAACATTCTTTTATGAATAAGTATATTATTTGGGAATATTATTGTATTATTATATTTTATTTCGTGAGTAATACACATAAAATTATTTTTTTTAGAAAAATGCTTTGAAATTACAACCAAAAACATTCTTTTATGAATAAGTATATTATTTGGGAATATTATTGTATTATTATATTTTATGTATTTAAGACAATGAACTATGAATTGTCACCGCGACTCGACAACTGGTGTCACCCTATAGAAATTTAAATGGATAATAATTATTCAATAAATAATTTTCTGTCTTCATTATAAATAAACTAAAGTTATCTATAATTTCTTAATAAATGTACCTATTTGAATAATCTTGTACATCTGATAGCACAACGAATGACATTCACATCATTTTGCTCAGTTAGTGGAAACAAAAAACACCTCGAACTTTGATTGAAAAAGGGGACACCTCGTTTTTTGGTTCAAGAAAAAAACACGTCGAAAATATCCATTTTAAATAAATTTTTGTTGGGCGATACTATGTGTAATGCAATTGTTTTAATATGTTATAATAGAAATAAGAAAGCGAAGATCTATATTAAAATTGCACGTTACATAGTGATTATTATGTAAGTAACGATTGTCGAATGGAATTATTAGCTGTTATAATCTTGTTTAAGATTTTTTCGATCGGCTATTGACAATTTGGACGCGTGCACCATGTGAACGCGTCTGCGTTGTAAAGATCTATTCACACGACTTGCATAACGTTCCACGTGCTTAATCCTGGCGTGACTCAGTTGCACATTGCTGGTGCATGCGTGCTTTCTGCACGTGTACATCCGAAGATTCTAACATGTGCAGGGTTCCATATAGAATATCAAAACGTTTTTTTTATTATGTCCAAGCCCTTTTCTTTTGATAAAGTAGCTGTTCACTCAAGCGCGTGCAGTCTCTTTTGGTCAGCTATTGACTGACAGTGACATGTTTCTGTTCAAATGTCCAAAATTAAAAGAATTTTTATCATTCAAATCTCTCTATTTCTTTCTCTCATACACACGATTACTTAATAATCTTCTTCCAATTTTTCTAAAATATTGAGAATACAATAACATATTTTTCTGTAGCTTCAGTAAGATGATTGAACTGCTTTAATAATAATACCCCTGATCTAACTTTTAGTCATGATTTCCTGGACAATATCAATTAAAATTAATCTACCAAG